CACGTGACCGAGTGTGCAGGGGCATGCCGGGAGTTGTAGTCCGCCAATGCCGCTTCACCTGCCGCGGTGGATGGAGCCTGCAGGTCAGGTTTACCTTGGCTGAAAAGGGCAATGAGTGAAAGATACAATTTGAGAGGAACTGGTAGGCTGACCAATTTTTTTTTTTTCCAAAAAGAGGCTTTTTCTCTGCTTTAGATTTTTGTATAATTAAAGGCAGTTGTCCTTCTAGGTAGGAACATTTCACCTATCAGTACTTGCAGCACTACAGCCTATCACCACCCCACCAAAATAAATCATGCATGTTACGATTCCCAGCAGCAGGGCAGGAGAGATGATTAAATACATAAATCGGTTCATTTTTTTAAAATGGGGCTGGAGAGATGGCTCAGCAGTTAAGAGCACTGGCTGTTTGGTCTCTGGGAGACTCAGGTTCGGTCCCCACATGGTCCCCACGGTGGCTCACGACCACTCGTAACTCCAGGGCCAGAGGACTCGACGCCCTCTTCTGGCTCCCGTGGGCACTGCACACAGGTGGCATCACTCACACATAGATAAACACATACATACAAATAGAAAGGAGAAGAGGAAGAGACCAAGGAGGAAGATGCCCCTGCCGCCACCAGATCTCCTTCTGCAGAGTTGTTCAAGACCAGGTAATAGGAAGAACACGTCCTGAGTAGGGCAGTGGTGGTGTGCGCCTTTGGTCCCAGTGAGTTCTGGGGTCCCAGCCGGGGCTACACAATGAGCTCCAGGACAGGCTCCAAAGCTACAGAGAGACCCTGTCTCAAAGAAAGAAAGAAAAAAAGAAAGAGAGAGAGAGAGGGAGAGAGGAGGAGGAGGGAGGGAGGGAGGGAGGAAGAGGAAAAGAATGCTTCTTTATACTTTCAGCCCTCAGAGCAGGAATCCAAAAATCATGATAAACACAAAACATGAAGCTAAGCAGGCTCCAGAAACACCTCCATGTGTTCAGTTCATATGGGTCACTCTAGGGTGATTTTTAGCCTTTGTGGCCACAGGGGAACCAGTCAGCTTCTAGTGAACCCACTGACTGTAGTTTTGCAAAAGACTTTTTTTTTTTTATTGTTAAACAATTTACACCTTAGCATGTCAATTTCAACACACCAAAACCTCTTATCTGAAGCTCCCCAAAGGGACACATGCCAAAGCAATTCCCAGTCACAGGACATCTCAGTCTTCTAAGTCCTTCCACAACCAAGTTTTGCATAGACTTTGAACCTTTAGGAAACTCTCAGATAAGATTTATATACTTCAAACAGAAAGTACTGGACACAAAGGGTAGCAGTCACAAAAGGCAGATCCAGGCCCAGGTGTTAACACCCCGGGAATCAAACCAGCTGCAAAGCTTTACAGGAACTCCCGCCACAGTGGTCAATATGGTAAACATTGCTTACAGGGGCACTCCTGGACCTGGTTCATTTCACAGTCTTCTGGCATTGGTGAAGTCGGCCAAGCTTCTTTTGACGTGCACACGAAGATTTAGACAAA